AAAGAAATATTTTAAAAGATTTAAGCTCTTTATACATAACCACATTCATACATGTGATTTTGCATAAGTACATAGGTATAATCACCTATACACTTTGTAAAAAGATGTGGTCACAAACAATGCCAATAAAGATATATTCTTGTGAACAACAACAAAAAAGATGTCATTTTTTTCTTTCTGTTTTTTTTGGTTTTGCTTAGCTAAGCTTCTCCGCCCTCCTCTTGTCCATCTCTCTCCCACATCAGCACCCAAGGTCATCTGCACTGAGAACTTGGGATGTGCCCTCCCATACGTCTTCCATACTCAAGTATTCTTAGACCTACACATATGCATGTATCTACACACACAGGCATTCATTTCTCAAAGCACTGTCTCATAACTGAGAGCTCATAGCATCTCTTGCATCTTACACTCACCATTGAACAACACCTTATAGAAACCCCTCCTGGTCCTCTGGTTTAGCTCTACTTCATTCTTTTAATAAATGGATGGAGGATTCCCCAGTGGGGATGTGCCCTTGACGAGCCTTCACTTTGTTTTCAGGTTTTTGCCCAATGAACAGTCACACAAGAAATTACTTGTTTATCCTTGGGGTCTTAAACCCATATCCTAGGTAGAGTTAGTTATATCTGATAGGGTCTCAAGAGTACAGTGGCCACTGAACTTACTTATTCTTTCAAGGGATGTTGCCAGATTGCTTTCCAAAAGCTGGAGGAAGAGGAAGAGTCAAAGAGAGGAAGGCAAACGTGGATAAAATGCCTGCTCCATGAATTTAAGTTGCGTGCACTGAATGAGGGGACAGGTACCAGTTATTATCAGTTCTTTTCCTAAAGACTGTGGGCTCCACAGGTCACTGCCTGGTCCTCTGTTGGGGTAGGGGGCAGTCTCGAGGTACACAGTGGGAGTGATGTTCCGGAATTGTGTACCTGGAGGGTCCAAACAGGGCAGAGGCAGGAAGAGCAAAGGCTTGGAAGTCAAAGGGACCCAGCCTTAATCGCATCCTTACCACTTTCCGCTGTGATATCTTGGGCAAGTTACCCAACTTCTCAGAGCTTCAGTTTCCTCATCTGCAGGATGGAGATAATGACACCAGCCTCCTCGGGTGTCCGTGAGGAGGAAACAAGAGACAGGAGGCCCTGAGCCGAGTGTCTGATGCGCCTTAAAGGTGCCCTTAGTCCTCAACTGCCTTTATGACAGCTCTGGCCCACAAGTACCATCACCCTGTCCCCCAGTAGATGAAAACCTGCTGAAGGCTGGAGCTGCATTGAATTCATAGTCTTGCATCTTTATAGAACCAATCTGTCACTTGCTTTTCTCTCCTACCAACTACCGTAAGGTCTTTTGCTCAGTTAAATCAGCATGGATTAAAAATAAGAGCAAGAACAGTAATTTTTTGTTATGGAAAATTTCAGACTTACATTAAAATAAAGAACACCCATGATCCACTATCCAGATTCAACATTGTCAGTATGTTGATAATCTTTCTTAATCCATCTCTTGATCACTTCTTCCCATCACCCCTCTTTATGGAGTATTTTGAAGTGAATCCTGGATATCATATCATATCAATTGTTAATACTTGAGTGAATTTCTAGTAGCATCTACACTTGGATCACCTAAGGAAACAACTCTTTATTTTGAAAATCGGTAAAAGGAAAAAAATCAAGCATTTATTCTGCTATATATTCTGGGGTCCCCAAGTAGTTAGTAAGGGCAATGAATGCCACGGAACTAGTAGAATTGGAAAGTGACTATTCACAGGTCTGATGAAACACTGGGACTAGGCAGCAGGTCACCCATGGCTATTAGAATTACGAAGCGGAACATGGAGGGGAAACTTAAAACAATGACTGGATCAAACTAATCAACCCTGAACCCACTGACTTATCTTAAAATTGTAACTGAAAGTGAGATAACCAGATACCATGTGCCTCTTGATGCAATGCAGTCGGAAGTACACAACGTCTATGAAAAAAAATATGATGTGTATATATCTGATATGTTTCAATCCTTTAGTAATTATTCTTTTTTAAGCCCAAATTGTTCCATCTTTGACTAAAAGGTGCCCCTTCATCATTGGTCTTGGGTATTTTTTTTTGACATAAGCTCAGTAATACTTGATAACTACCTTGCATTCTGTCATAATAAAATGCCCCAAGCTCATCTCACACAATCCTTGCCCCAGTTCTAAAAATCAGTCATTTTCTAAAGGAGTCCTGGTTCCTTTTAGTGGGCAATGGTATTGAGATTATGAATCTGGACACTAGGGCTGCTCACAGCCATTGGATTGTCATTGCTTCTTGGCCTTTTCAGTGGACACAGCTAAGACGTTAATTAATAATGACTCCATACTACCATGGCCAATCCAAATTTTTGATTATAGAATTTGCACCTAACTTCATTGATTTGATACCTGTATCTCTTTTATCTTGCACTGAAGACCCAGGTTTCTAACAACGTTAAGATAATTTCTTACTTGCTATTTTACATACACATATGTAAAATAAACATCATATATGCAACAACATCTAACTATCAGTATTATTACTAACAAATATTATTGCTCAGTGCAGGTTGATTTCTTTGCCGTTTAGTCCTTAGGATATGTTACATTAAGAATATACAGTCAAAATAGTGAGTTTTGGAATCAGTTTCTTCTATTTTCATGCATAACTTGGGTTTCCAAAGTAACCTGAAATATACTTTGATTCATGGCTTTTTTTTCTTTTAGGAAATGCTTTGTTATTTTCTTTTAAAACATAATTACATAAAATAGTTACATGATGCCAAAGTCAAAACTTTGTAAAGTAAGATAGAGGACATGAAAGAAGTCTGGTCTCCAAACCCATTTATTTTCACCTTGTTCTTTTCTTATATGTAACCATTCTTAATCAGTCTAATTTATACTTCCACTGTTGCCTCTTTAAAATGAAAGCAAACGCACCCATCTTTCTCAGAAGGGAGGCAACACATACATGGTCTCAGCCTCGTTTTTTCTCACTGAACAGTATATCCTAGGGTTCCACGATCTCCACAGAGAAGGTCTTCATTCCTTTGTACAGCCTGCACAGAACCACATTGTGTGGATGGACCCTGGCTTATTCAGCCAGTCCTCTGTGGGTGGGCACGTGGGTCCAACAAACATTTACTGCATGACTAAACTGTGCCAGGCACTGGAGATAAAGACATGGTCTCTGGCCTCAGGAAACTCAAGAGTGTAGAGGGGGTGACCTCTTGCAATACAAGTACTTTCCTCATAAGGGAGTGAGATCTTGGATCCACGCAGCACAAGGGGCACGTGGATCAGGGCAGACAGGGTCCCACACAGGAGGGATACAGTAACAGCCTGCGGATTGGCGGCCTGCTCCCACAGGGGCCTTGATATGGGAGAATCCCCTTGGGAGGAGTTTCAGTGTTTGAAATTGCTTAGAAAATCGTGAGTGCCACCAATTGGTCAGAGAAGGAAAGGCCAAATGAAAGAGGTAGAGAGGAAGGGTCCTAACCATCAGATTCCCCTGAAAAGAGGAAAACGTAGGTTGATGCAGAAGCCATGGTTTAACAGTAAAAATTAACACCTGTATAGAACGTACCACTGACCAGAGTTTGCTCTAAGTAGCTTACACATATTTAACTTCTTTATTTCTTATAACAGTTCTAAGAAGTAGGGACTATTATTACCCACATTTTACCGTTGAAAAAAAAGTAAGGCACAGAGAGGTTACGGAACTTTTGCACAAGATCACAGAGCGAGTGAGACAGGTTTGGCGCAAGGAAGGAATCGCAGATAGGACACACACACACACCCCACCCACCCCGGAAAACTCCACAACGTCTTTCTCTGGACGCCTGTGGGCTCGGAGGCGTGAGGAATCCGAAAGCCTGGAGGCGACCTGCTGGATGCAAGGTGGAAACTAAGTCGGCCTGCGGGGCTGCGTGTGAGCAGCGGGCCTCCCGCCGACCGCCGCTCTCTGGGGAGCAGCGGGCTCTGACCCCTCGGGTGCCCGCCTCCCACTCCCGCCTTGGCGCCAAAACTTTCCTCGGACTCCTAAGACGCGGGAGAAGCTCTACGAGGTCACCTGCAAGCTGCTAAGGACAGCCAGGCACCGTGACCCGCCCCCGTCCACAATCATCCACCAGGGAACCCGCAGCGGGAGGAACGGGCTACGACTAGGGGTGCACGGGGCCGTGGCTCCTCCCGCCACCCGGACACAGCTGCCGCTCGGCCCCGGAGCGGCGGCCGGCGAGCACCCGGCGTCCCAAAGCACACTCCGGTGCCCAGGATACTCCCGCCCGCCGTTTAACGACTCTTGAGAAGTCTATGGCTACACACGCGAAGACAATAGTTACAGGATAAAAAAACCGAACTCTACACAGAAGCCTGATGACAAACACAACGGAAGGCAAATACTATATCCCAAAGATTACCCAGGATCTAAACACAATTAACTCCTCAGAGTGCTGTAGAATTAAATGGATCCTCCAAGTTCACGTCAGACGGGTAATGTGCCGACGTCGTAACAAGGTTCGAGGGAGGCACACGTCACACAGTCGCGTGAACACCCAATCATCACGCTTATGAACTACAAAAGGATCAACGGTACCTGCTCGGTAGTGAGTCCCCAGGTAAGGCCCACCGACTTTACAGAAAGGGTGACAGATATAGTACATATTTTTTCAGGTTTGACTCATAAAACCCTGTACATTTTATAACTATCATCGATACTGCGTGATATTTACTTTGTTTCTACCTTAACAAGTGAAAACAGGAACAAACTAGCGAGGGGATTATTATCCATGCAAATATACTCTCCATAGCGCCACCCTTTTTGGTACCCGGATCGCTATTGCTTTACGATAGCAGGTCGTGAAATGACGGAGCGTTGCCGCGGTAATGGCGGAAGCTAGATTGTGCTTTCCGGCAACGACGTAAACTAGTTCGGACCCTGATAGGCGCAGACGTGTCGGAAGAGCTGCAGATGCCGGAAGAGCTCCAGGTACTGGCGGCCGTGTTCTTGTCGTGCTTTGAGAGTTCATTTCTTAAACTCGTTAGGGCTTTTTGTTTTTCTCATTCTTCAGAAAGGCAAGAGTAATTTCTCCCTCTACTGTCGGGAATCTGAGATTCTGTTACCCCCAGAGAGACGCTTTTCTGCATCTTTTCCTTTCACACATTTTATTCTTCTGTTGGAGGGACTCCCTCCTGGTCCTTCGAGAAGTCTCGCCGCTTTATTTGGTTTTAGTTCTGTTCTTTAAGGGAATTCCAGCCCCCAGGTGATCTTTATTTCTCTCTTTAGAGGATCCCCGCCCGCCTCCATCCTCGTCCCCGGGGATACTAGCCCATCACCGCAGCGGTCTGAGGGATGGAGCTTACCGGCTCTCGGGAATCCCTATCTCGAGAAGGCTCTTCCTTGCCTGGAGAGTGGTCTTCCTCCGCCCTCGGACAGGCCTTCTCCCAGATCTTACACCAACTTACTGGCCAGGAATCCCGGCGGAGCAAGGCCAGAAATGCAGCTCTTCAGGACCTCAGTGCTCTACTAGAAGCCACAGAGTGTGATACATTATTTGAGGGGAGTGACGCCTCGCTCCGTGGAATGCCCCAGCTGCTGGGGCAGGTGGCAGAAGCCCTGGAGAAGTATGCAGCCCCACCCAGGGAGTCAGAGGGGAGAGGTGAGCGTCACTCTGAAGTGGCTGAGAAAGCGGCTGCAGTTGGGTTGCTGTTTCTTAAGCTACTGAGGAAAGTTGAGGCCGCCAAGAATTCCTTGGTTTGCCCTGCTTGGAAGACAGGCCTCCGTCACTTGGCAGGACCCATCTATATTTTTGCCGTCACACACAGTTTGGAGCAACCGTGGACCAGCTCGAGCCCTCAGGACGTTGCTGAACAGGTGCTCGCCTTACTGCTTCAAGTTACTGAGTGTGGTTCCGTGGCAGGATTCCTCCGCGGAGAAAAGGAAGATGAGAAAGGGAGATTTCCGACGATAATGGGGCTTCTCAAATCCGATTTGAATAAGTGAGTATACCTGCGGTCAGGGCCGTTGATTTGCGCTTCAGCCTAATGTTTTAGAATGTTAGCTCAAAGGAACCTTGTTTCTTCATCAGTAAAATAAAGGTTTTGTGACAGCAGATCTCTTAAAGCCTAGAAAGGTTGTAATTTGCTATAAATGACTTAACTAGATAGTGGCGAATTCAACATTAGAACCGAGGTCTTCAGACTCCATTTTGAAGTGCTCTTTCCGGTCCTCCTGACAGCTGCCCTGGAAATTGGAAGTTCTGTGCCATTTATGTAGACTTCACCTTTCTTAAATTAGGTGGGATTGGGGATTCCAAAAGGATTTAAACTTACGATTTGACTTCAAACTTACGGATCTTGAAATTAATTGCTAGTTATTAGATAGAGGTAGTTATGGGACATGGAAGCAACGTTTGGGAGGAAAAAAAAAGCCCTTTAGACTGCTGTCAGCTGAAGTATTTTCTGGGCGTTTCCACTTGCTATTCTGCATGTTAGTTTTTGTGATACTGGAGTGATGAGGAAAAAATGAATACATAGCCGTCATTTTACCAGGAACTTGGAGTTAAAAGGCTTAGTTTGGAGGCAGTCTGGTGCTTCTTTTTATTGCTTCTGAACAGGACCAGGTCAGACAGCTGCTCTGAACCCTCAGGTTCTTTACTTGTTGTATAAAGATATCGTTACTTATTAAGCAGTATTTGAAGACGGGTTGAGTATTGTGTGTAAACTCACTTTGTAAGCTATTAGTTCTGTTTCAATCTTGATTCATTTGCTCCCTTATATGAAATAATGTTACTGAAGATGTTTCCTTTACTCCTCTCTCCCTCCTCAACACATTATCACTGTAACCATTGCCACAGATGCTTTATAGCCCCGGCTGTATATATGGCTGCGTCTCATTAACTGTGCTTTAGACCCGGAGCCCCAGGTGATTGTTAATTGTATTTAATGTAAGCTCTGTAAGTTATTTTGGTCCTAATCTTAAAATGTATATTATAACATCTAGCATTATCTTATGTGGGATGTATTTTTTCCAAGTACAAGAAAACACTTCGAGTTTGAACCGGACACCGTGTCATTTACTGTGGTTTCACATGCCCACCTAGGGAATCCTGGAAGAATAACCCTGCCACCAAACATGTTTTCTCATGGACTCTGCGAAAGGTCACCCGACCCTGGCTGAGCCAACATCTGGAAAGGACACTTCCCCCATCACTGCTTATCTCAGACGACTATCAAACTGAGAACAAAATCCTGGGGGTTCGCTGCCTCCATCACCTCGTGCTTAACGTGGTAAGCCCTCTCTGCTCTCCGGCACCCGATGGATGCACGAGTTGGGTCATCATTGCTGGTCCTCCTTCGTGATGTCACTTTTATTGTTGCCTCTGTTTATGTCTTTTATTAACTTGCTTTCTATTACTGCTGTTATGTGACAGAATTCACTAATTTATATTTTTCTATGCCAGCCTATTTGGTTGTATCTCATAGGTAATATATAGAAAACACATGGACCATTGTCAAACTGAATAACTAGACTCTTGAGTAATTAACAGTTGCTTTTTTTTTTTTTAATGCAAGTATTGGTAATTGAACCCAGGCCCTGGTGCATGCTAAGCATGTGAGCTGCCACTGAGCTACACCCCTAATGATTGACTTTCAAGCAGCAAAAAATTTAGAAACTGAAAGATTATACCCCAATGTGCAAGCTATTACTCAGGGAAATTTTTTTAAACTATGCGTTATGGAGCTTTTAAAATACACACAGGAGAGAGAGTGGTATGAGGAATTCCATGTACCATCTTCAGTCTCAAAACTTTCCAACATTTTGCCAAGCTTGGGAAACTTGTAACTGGGTCATTTGTCTGATTGCAGCCAGCCGCTGATCTGCTCCAGTACAACCGGGCCCAGGTGGTATACCACGCCCTTTTCAACCACCTGTACACACCGGAGCACCACCTCATTCAGGTCAGTGTAAGGTTTGTTCTTAACTGTGAGTCTGAGCTCTCAAGTTTGAGTAGAAGGTGGCATTATGTGAATAAGAATAGTTGATAGACATTTTTCTGTCCTGGAAAGTGTGGGTGATAACTGAGAGCCACTGACAAGGTGAAAATATGGGGCAGCAGATGACCAGGGAAAACATCTCAGTACCAAGCAGGCATCCACAGGCCCGAGTCGGCACAGGAAAGCCAGTGTTTTGTCTTCATCTGGGTCAATTAGAGATCATTTGGGGGCAGCTTAATGTCTGAAAAAGTTCTCTGTTTATTAATTTAAGTGTCCTTCATCTGGGCTGTTTTATATCAACACACACCTGGAACTCCTTATATGCTGGGTATTTTAGTGTCATTTATTCCTTCATTCCTTCATGTAGGTTCCAAGAGCGAGTCAGACAGGGTTTCTGGCTTTAAGAAACTCTCTGGAGAGACATTTATGTAAATATATGTACTTTATATGTAAATGGAGTACAGTGATAATCTAACCAGGTTTGAGGGTATTGAGGTGGTTTTAGGGGGATTCAGGAAGAAGGTGATATTTGCTAATAAAGGATGAATAGAGCTTCCTGGGGGGTGAGGAGAACATTCTGAAGACAAAACAAACAAGTTATATAAAATTAGAAGTAGAAATAACCTTGTTTCTTAATTTATACCTACTCTCCTTCCCCTTACCACTTTTTAAAAAAATATTATTTTTGGTTTTGAGAATCCAGACTGTACTAACAGCCAAAAAGTTGAGATGGCAGTTTAAAAAAAAAGAAAGAAAGAAAAAGATAAAACAAAGATCCCAGGAGAGCTAAAAGTGATTGCCTAGACGCTGAAACTTCAGATACCAAATTGGATACAAATAGGACCATCTTATACAATGAAAAGAATATGAAAAGGAATATGTGTATGTGTATGGATGACTGAAACATTATGTTGTGTACCAGAAATTGACACATTGTAAACTGACTAGACTTCAATTAAAAAAAAAAAAAGGAAAAAACCCTAAATAAGACCATCTTAGATTCTATTTGGGAGTGGTTTTATTGTAAATACTTGTAAATATCATGTAAACTTAGGAATTTAGTGACAGTAGACTCCTAAATTTGGGGTTAAAGTTCCAGCTCTGCCATTCTTCCCATCTTATAGATTAGCGAAGTACAGTCCTGAGGGTAAGGTATTAACTTGAGACTCAAATCGATAAAGGATGTTAAAAAAAAAGTTTGAAAATATAAAGTAATAAGTTACACTTAATGTATTATTACTAGAATCTTTTCGAATTCTATGACATGGACCCCAAGGGTGGTAGATTAATGGAATTTGGTAGAAAAACCATTGAGGGTTGTGAATACAAATCGGTGAGCCATAGTTACTTCCTATTGCTGCCTCCAGGCTGTGCTCCCGTGTCTGCTGGATTTATTCCCCATCCTGGAGAAAGCCCTGCACTGGAAGGGAGGTGCGGCCCGACCCACCACACACTGTGACGAGGTCCTGCAGCTGGTCCTGACCCACATGGAGCCCGAGCACCGCCTCCTCCTGCGCAGGACCTACGCGAGAAACCTGCCAGCTTTTGTGAAGAGGTGCGTCCTTGGGCTGCTGGGTGTGGCCTCCTCCTCGCCTTCACGTCTTTGGCATCACGTCATCTCTTTTGTTTTTAGGTTGGGGATCCTAACTGTCCGGCACTTGAAGAGGCTGGAGCGAGTCATCGTTGGTTATCTGGAGGTTTATGATGGACCTGAGGAGGAGGCTAGATTGAAGATGCTGGAAACCCTGAAACTTCTCATGCAGTACACTTGGCCCAGGTATCACAGCCAGCAGACAGGTGTGCTAAGATGGGCAAAACTCAGCCGATATTCTCTTCAGAGCTTGCCCAGCTGCACGTAGTGTTAAGTACGTAGTGCAAAGTTTTAGGGACGTGCTGTATATCTGAATACCTCCCATTTTTACACACCAGTTGGATTTTGAACTGTGGAAGTGGTATTGAAAAGATAAAATACACCCACTTCCCTCAGGTGTACATCTCTGCACTTATAATGCATATTGGAATTTTAAAGGCCATTTAGAATTGCTACAATAGACATGCTTAACTTTGTTCCCCCTAAGGTTTCTTAAACCTGATTGAGAACAGCATTTCATAGCACATGACTGAACACCTGTGGTCAGGAGAACACTGACTTAGGATATGAGTGCTCAGTCCAGCTCAGGCTTGAGGTAGGTGTCATGAGCAGTAAGCTGGGACTCCCAACATGTGGAGTCCACAAAAGGCTTTCTTGCGTGAAATAACAGGGCTTAGTTCAGCGAGAGAGCAGTGCCTTGGCACATGTGTGTCCCTGTTCTGGACCGTATTCTCTCATCTCCTTATAATGTACCCCCCAGTCTTTCCCTTCATCACGTTTGTAACCAGGTTGCATTTACTTACTTACTTTCTCCTCTCCTGAACTACAAGCTTCAGCAGGATGGACGACCACTTGAGTACACTGAGAATTCCAAAACTTACTCAGCACCTGGTATTAAGTACACAGATATTTGGAAAATGACTAGAGCAGATGGATGAGTGAAATTGAACCAGACTAAGAGCTCAGCAGGCAGATGGAGGGAGCTTGGAAAACGAGTGTTACGTGTGGAGGGGAAACAGCAGACTGGCCTGAGGACAGGCAGAGGGCTGGACAGCACACAGGTTACAGGAAATTGCTTAGTATTTTTAGATCAAGGTATGGATGCAAACTTTTGCTAGTCACATTTCTGTCCAAAAATAGGGTGATTTTATTTTCACACCACAAGGTAAATTATTTTTCAATTTCCATTATGGCTTTTTAGGGGTTTTTTTTATTGTGGTTAAAAAATACATGAAATTTACCATTTTAAAGTGTACAAATCAGTGGCATTAAGTGCATTTACAATTTTGTGTAATCACCACCACAGTCCATTTCCAGAACTTTTTCATCAACACAAACTTTTAGAAAGGCCAACTAGAAGTAACTAGACTGGGCTTAACTGGTGGTAACTTATGATCTAGAATTAAAATGACAAAAAATTCAAATTGACACTTGAGTTCCAGAAGCCAACCTTATTTCCCTCACTCTATTTTTAACCTGAGGGCCCAAGACAACATCAGAGCTAGAGGTTGAGGGCCATGTCCTGATCTCTGGCCAAAAGTATGGGTCCCTGGAAAGAGGGGAAGTCCCACTTCTCCCTTTTCAGGAGGGGCTGTGTCCTAACAGTAGAGGCACGCTTCTGGAGGAAACCAGGGATTCTTGGGCAGGCCAGAGTGTGTGTGTGTATATGTGTGTGCAGTGTTTTTGTGCTGAAGAGAGAAACGGGGCTTGAAGTTAAGAAATCTGGAGTCTGGTCTCTAGTGCTGCTTGTAGCTCTGTGGTCTTTAAGTCATTAAACTCTGACTTCAGTTCCTTCACTTATGAGATGAGGACTTTATACTAGTTGGCCTTTGAAGTCTCTTTCAGTTTTAATATCCTGATTCAGAGTATGAACATAATTTTTCTTCTTGATTCCAGAGTTTCCTGCAGACTTGTGGTCTTCCTGAAGGCTCTCTTGAAACTGATATGTGACGTAGCAAGGGATTCAAGCCTCACACCCGAGCCTGTTAAGAACGCTTTGTTAGAAGAGGCCACAGACTGCCTGATTCTCCTGGACCACTGCTCCCGAGGACAGGTGAAGGTAAGGGACGGTCTGCAGCCCAGTTTCCGTTAGGCCTTGTTATCCTTAGATAATTCTTGTGATTTTGATTTACTGTTTACGTGCCTAAGTCTGTAAATGAACATGGGAAGTTCAGCTCTCTACCTCTGAGCCTCCTAGCCTTCAACAGAGTTTAATCAATACTTTATTCTTCCTTCAAGGCTACTCAGAACTGTTTAGGCCAAAAGGCAAGAGAATCAGTGTTATGTCTTGGGAGCTAGGACAGAGAATGGGCAAAAGGATCATGATCAAAAGTTTGTAAAATCCACATGGGGATTCTTCCTCTGGTCTCATATCCCACAGAAGTTAACTGTTCCAAGCCATAGTGTATAATAGTTATGTGTCCGCTGAATAAACTATTGTCTCATTTCTTACCCCATTTAGAAATCTTAAATTGAAAGCCGTAAGGCAGCATAAAGAGAAATTCATATCCTAAAAATATTTAGGGGTAGTATGGTTTATTATTAATTTATTCAAATTATTTCATCTTGGATCTGTAATCTCAGGCGGTTTTCAAGCCCGAGATCCAATCTGCTTCACCTTGGCTCGTATTGAGTTGCTTCTTTGTGAGCCAGCAGAACATTTCTGAACATGCCAACACTTTCTAAAGTTATACCTGTTCTGTGTTCCGTGTCATCTAATCTCTCCTCCTTCTGAGTATGGTACCAAGAAAAAGCAGTCAAGGTAAAGGGGAAAAAACCACAAAGCCTGTTTGATTTCATGTTTCAGGGTCTCCTGGCTAACATCCCCCAAAGCTGTGAAGACAGTAAGGTGGTGAGCTGTATCCAAAAAGTGCAGCGGGTTACTGAAGGCGCTCCCTGTGACGGAACTTAAGACTTGTATTATTTTCCTCAAGAGGAGAGGATTTTCTTCTCTTCCAGCTGTTTTAAATGGAATTATTTAAGGAAAAAGGTATTTTTACACTAAACATTGTAACTTAGATCTTTTTCCGTCTTTCCTTTTACTCCCATAGAAGTAGGGGAAGGAGAACAAGAAAAAATGGAAGTCTGGACATTTCTAAACAAAGACGGAGGTGCGGGTGGGAGGACACCAAGGAGACAGGGGTGAGCAGCGTTTACAACTCAGAAATATTTACAGCCACACACTCATCTGCTAAGCTTCTTGGGCTCATGCTGTTGCTTGGACACATGTGCCAAACCTATAAAAAGTACTCTGCCCACCACTCAGGCTTTTCTCCACTCCCTCCCAGATTTCCTGCCCCACAGAAGTAGCATAAATATTAAAACACAAATATTGTGTTAAAAACAAGATAAAGAGCGGAAACTGCAGGTACATATTTGTGTTTAAGATAAAAAAAGGAAGGAGTTCAAAACATTCAGGCCTGTTTCTAAACGTCTGGAGGGAGATCACGTGGTTTTGGCCTTGGCCCCGGGCTCCATCTCCTGCTCATATTCTATCTCGACGTATGCTCGTTTCCTCCGCAAAGGTCCTTTCAAGGGTGTTTTGCCTTTGTGTTTGGCATCAGGGGCCTTTTCTTCTTCCTCACTGGAGGATTTATCACCCTGATCTTCATCACTGCTGGCGTCCAGTTTATCCATATCCTAATACAGGGAGGGAAACAATGGGATAAGACACTAGATCCATTCCCCAAACTCCCGCCACTGTCCTCTCAATTCAGAGCTCAGACTGGTGTCCCTCCCCTCCCCTTTTTTTGGCTGAAGCCAAAGGATGACTTTTGACCCTGAACCTCACCTCAAAATCACTTATGTCACTCTCATCCACTTCATCATCTTCCACAAACTCTCTTTTCCCCACATCCTAAAATAAAACATACCTGTTAGGTTCAAGACAGGTAGTGAAAATTCAGCTAAGACATCCAGTTTTATTCTTCGATAAGTAAGTGGATCAATAACAGAGTCTACTCAATAGGCAACCAAAACTGACTGACTTCCAAGTTTAATACTTCTAAATTTAATATATTTTAGGGATATCAATTCTCATGCCTGATTTAAATCATTAGAGGTAAAATATCCTCATTTTAATTGGTTACAGTCATTCTATAGGAACAAACTATTCTATGTACCACATTCAAATAAAACTTAATTTCAAATATCAAAAAATAGTTCACCAACAGAAAAAGCACACCTGGGTATCTGTGTGAGTCTACTATGAATCTATTTTTTAAATCTGCCCTTTTCCTAAAAATACTATGACTTAAGTCCTTCTATATTAATAGTAAGATTAAATCCTTTGTAAATTTCAGTAGGTTCCTTAATGTTATATTCCATCAGCTGATAAGGAGTCTTCATTTGTCACCTCGCAGGAAAGTTTTTATAATGCTAATAAATAAGATTAAATTGTCAATGCAGGAATGAATAGTTTGTTGGCTGGACCTGGAAAACAAAGCAGTCACTACAGAAATTAGTAAAACATGATAGGAAGAAAACAGCAAATAATTATTTTTGGTTAGGGAACTAAAAATGGTATCCTCTCAATTACATAAAAAATAGATCTCACCCTATAGATTACTGCGTGACAAAGCAAAAACACAAAGCTTACTTCATCATCTTCATCATCTTTTTCCTCAGCATCTGAAGAGTCACTCTCTGCCTCCTGCTGTTCCAGGGCCTTGTCGAAGGCATGAATGGGGAAGTTGTAGATGTCTCCGTACTGAACAAAGTAAACACGGGTCAGCCTTAACGACACTCGGATCTTATGCTTAAAGTCCACTGTCCAACAAGCATATTTTTTTCCTCAGTGACTGAGAATATTTAGTTTGATAAGTAATAATACCATATTATTTTCAAACCTAGAGCCAGAAGTGTCTTTAAAGAGCCCATATTTGACATTTAAATAATTAGTGGTTAATACCAAACAGATAACTTCTATGAAGGATGGATACCAGCTCACTTAAAATTTAGTAGTCTATAAAACCCATGGGTTGGGAACAAGTGTAATTTTGCTGACAAGGGGGAAATCATAAGGAAAATAAATTTTATTCATGTTGTCTCTGTAAATGATACTAATTTTTCCAAAACAAATAAAAATTCATTTTAAAGAACCTTAAAAGACTAGGATTAATAGTTAGGAGGATCAAAACTGTATGGCTTTTATAGAGAGATCTGGAATTGTTGTGTCCGGGAGCAGGAGTGGGAATGATGGGGAATGCACGAATAGTTTGTTGGCTGGACCTGGAGAGCAAAGAGGGGGAAGGTCTCGACACTGGAAGATCAAGGGTAGTGAAAGCATTTTACATGCCTGCCTCAAGGAGCTAAGAGAAGCCAAGGCCTGTGTGATACTATGTTTGGGAATAAAATCAAGGTGAAGATCTTTCTAGCATCTTAAATAAAACACATTTCCCACTACTCCCACATTTCCTAGCATATTCCCACCTAAAAAATAAAATTTGACCCAGCATTCTGGCTTTCTCACCGTGTCTTGTTTCAGTCTCTCCAGCAGCTCCTTTTCGATGGCGTTGTCCAGCTGAGCAGCTATCAGTGCCTTTTCCTGTAAGAGGAGGAAGCCCGGTTACTCCATTAGCACTCGCTTCCCAGCCTGCAGAAGTGGAAGGGACCATCCAGTCTTTCTGTGAAAGATGTCACTTTCCCCCTTGCGACAGCAGGAACTTCTGCCTCTCCAACCAGACAGATACATTTTTCCCCTGTCAAACCTTCTTGGGAACCTTTCAATTAAAAAAATCACTATGGTTTTATGAACAGATTTCTAAGTTAAATTCTGACAAAGCCTTTGATAGATACACAAAGCAAGTAGGTCTGCCTACGTTTAAGTGTCTCAGAAAACTAGCAGTCCTGCAGCAGACTCCGTAAAAGCTGTGAAAGGGGGACCAGAGACCTTCACTCATTTGCACTTTCCAAAACCACGTTAGACTCTGTGATGTAAGAAAAGTAGATTAAATCTCTCTTCCTTCAACGATCTGTGGAAGGAGATGATACACAGTATCAACCTGTACACAAGCAAAACAAACAGAACCTCAGCCTGCCTTTCTTGCCAAAGACTGCGCATTAATGTGATAGTGAAAGTCAGAGGATTTAAGGGCCACGCACTGACGTCACGTTAGGGTGAACAGTGATGGTGTCAGATACAACACAGCTTGACCGGGGCACACGGGTCAGTTAAAAGGTTACTGTGATACTCTACATTTTTCCCTAAAGCGGGTGCTTACACCAAAGGGGTGATCCACTGAGATGTAGGAAGCAAATATTCAAAACATGTATTTTTTTTCTTTAAAATATTAACTGTTACAAATACTTTTTATGTGTACTAACATACGCAGGTGCCTCGACTCAGTCCACGATGCAGATAGCTGTGTGTCACTTACCGTGAGCAGGATATGCCGGGGAAAAGCACTGCACAAGGGGTTTGAAGGTGGCGACCTTACTCCTTTATTCAGACTATTGCAGCACAGAGCTATTTGCTCAGCTGAGTTTGCTGGGTGAAGTGGATTTACAGATGACACTGAACAGTTTGCAGTAAGGTAGGGAGTAGTTATAAAGATGTAAACTGGTCATTTAATGGTTCAGTACTTCAAAAAAAGTTGTAGAACTTAAAAACCCATGCTTTTTTCACAAAAAGAAAAATGTTCCAGATTTGTCAACCTTTTCTAAGATGACAAATGGCTGTCCATAATGTGTAACATAGCAGAAGTTTAAAAAAATAAATACGACTTACTCTGTTTTTTTCCAAAGGGAAGGCAGTATTTTAACAGTGAGTTTGCGAGAACTGTTTTTCCAGAAGGAAAAAAAAAAGACAACTTGTTCTGGGGCTAGAACATTTCGAAAAATGATTACAGCTATATACGACATTGCTGAAAACATGGGTTTCCTATAAAAACCGCAATCACACACTTTAAAAATTTGGAAACAGAATTTTTCATCCCATTTAAAAATCTTCCAAATCTACATTTTCCCAGAGGGATTCAAATTTATTTGGTAAAAATAGAAAATTTTAATTTCTTCTGAAAGCTTTGCAAGAATGCCTGTTTTGACAGCCAGGGAAGTTGAAAACTCAGCCAGATTTAAACAAAAAACTCTCCATAATTGGTGGTAGAGAATGAAAAACAAACAGCAAGTACTTAATGCAAACACTCAACAACACTCCTTTCTCTGTGTCTCTGAGCTCTCTATGACAGCCCGTTAAAGACACATTTACACCCTGCTAAGTACCAGACCCTTATTTCGCTACACCACAAACTATTATGTATAATACACCTACTAGTGCCAGTACACGTGTATAATAACATTTGTAAATAATATATTGGGGAACATATGTTCAAAAATTTTACTGATGGAGTGAGTGATCAAAAAAGTTTAGAGACCAGTGATAGAACAGATTTGAGATACCAAACTCTGTGTGATTAATGGAAACAAAAGTATCAAGATTATTAAAGCTGTTTCTTGACAGGACATGACAAATGATGAGCTCAGTGTCTGTTGGTGGAAGGGAGGTAAGCAAAGCAAATACTCAGAATGACTGAAAATGTGAACTTGTCAGGAAAAGCTAATTCCTGGGCCTTCGAAGAATAGGAATATTCAGGTCCGGATGAGGTGGATAGGCAGACTGCTGTCTGTGACAAAGGTTGGAGCTTCCTGACTAGATTTTCCATGGATGGCACAGTATTACCACCTCTATTCACGACTTTAGTAAGAAAACTGACTAGTTTACTTCAAAAAGACAAATAATTCCAATGAATTCCTTACCAGCAACTTCAAAATCCAAAAAACTCAATTTAGAGGCCTACTATGACCTGAAAAAGCATTAAAAAAATTCCACTGAGTATGAATTCATCTAGTAAAATATTCTTCTATTTCACTGCACAACTACTAGTGTTTTTGATTAGTATGCTCAAAACATGTGGAGGGGTAGTATTCTGAAATACCTGACCTCAAGAATTTCAGACTAGGAGCTACAGATCTCTACTTTAGGTATTTTTTTCTGTTCTCCACTAACAAATATCTCCAAAGCCACCCACATTTTAACCTGCCCTGAAAGTCATAATCTTCAGATACGGAATATCAGATATCTTATGCAACTAATACTGTTATCCATCAGTGACCCAACTGTCATCTAGGACTAAACAGTCCATAGCCAGTGGTGACTGGCTTGTCCTCAGGGGCCCTGTGTGCACAGCCCTACCCTCAGTGAAAACACAGAAGCTGTGACTATCAGAACAGAAAGTTACCTCTCTCCTTTTTTCTCTCCGCTCCACCTTCTTACTCAAAGGAACAAGTTTCCTCCTAGAGGAAATAAAAAACATGATCAGAAAACCCAAGTACATGTTCTACATGTCCCTTTAAAACAAATGAAAAAAGGATTGGAATTGATTTTGTAGGGCTGAGCTCAATATAGCAAGATTACAGAACTTAAAACTATCTAGACAGTTAATGCTATAAAAAGGCAGGCATTTTTACATTTGTTTGGTAGACACTTTACATATATGTGGCTGTTTTTGTTTCTTTAGGCATTCTGAGACTTCTGAGGGTGATCACAATGCTAATGATTAATGCTTCTGTGAACTAAGAAAAAGGAATTTTCTATAGAAGACTGGTATCTTCAGTTTTCTCAGCAGGTCACAATGAAACAGTATTAGGGTCTATCACTCCTTAAAGAAGGCATTCAATTAATTCTGTGGATTTCCTATCACTTTTTAAAATGAGTTTTCAATGAACCCGGAGTAAAGATCTTACACTACAGTTTGTTCACATTTTTTCGATCATTTTCAGTTCCCCAATTTTAGGATTCCCTCCGGGTTATAAAGCCAATTATCTGAAGCTGATTTTCAGACAGAATGGGATAATCAAGTCATACTATACTACTTCTAAAATCCTGCAGAATCTAAGGGCACAACTTTAACGAGGTAGACCTGCTTCTTAGCACATCATAAACAATTACCCAAAGTCAAATTCAATAGAAAGCCTTGCTAGAGGTTTCACAATCTCTCAGCTTCATAATATGGTGCATGGAAAGATCGATTTAAAAACGAATGAATGATCAATACTTACTGTCGCTTTAGTGTAAGTTTTCGAATTCGAATTAGGTACTGAGTGATCTTGGTAAATCTCTGCTTACATTTGTGCCGAATGAAACGGGGCCAGTAAATTAGATTTTCATCTATTTGCTCCAGCGCTTTCTCATAGTTTTTATGAAGCCGGACCTGCCAAAAAGAGAAATGAGGCTTGAAGAGGGCAAAGATGAATTATCAGGTCTTCACTGTTAATGACACCCATAGGCCTGATGAGGATGGCTTCAAGCCTTAAGGTAGATACAGTCCAGGAAGTGAGAAAAGTATGTGACCTTTTTTGCTGTTGATCAACGGTCATCGTGACTTTGTGTCCTAAGTCTTACCCGTTCCCAGAGGCGCCTAGGAAAAGCTGCTCGTTCTATAACCTTCATGTACAAGTAGCACTGTCCTGTGGGATAAAGTGAACACATTTAATACTATTTACAAAGACTAAAGGGCATCCTTTTAAAAGCTGTGAGTACTTCTCATGGAAGTCAAAACTGAGGAGTTACCTTTCTCTTCTTTGATAGTGGCATACTGACTGTTTGCCAGGGGACAGGACGACCGATTGCACAGTCCAGTCAGGCTATATTCATTTCTGCAGAAACTCTGGGTTTTGGTTCTAGAATGGGAGAAAAAGAGCGAGAATTGTTAAGATGGGTTACCAAGCGACAACTAAAAGGATCTTTGTCCAAGGTGCAAATCTAGACTCACCGTATTTTGAATGAACAAAATTGCCTGTTTCCTAGTGTATCCCAGATAACCTGCAAGATAAAGGAGAAACCCATTTCAATTGCTCAGACCCAACAGATGCCATATTAATCCAAGGAAACTGCCCCAGTGCATTGCCCTGCTTCACTGTGGAGTCTTTGAGGGGATGAGAGGAGGAAGAAATGCTTTGTAGAATAGTCTGATTTAGATTCTTGTAGGAAAAATAAACACAAATTAGCAATAACCATAATCTCATTGCCCAGAGATCAAATTTCATTAGTATTTTGTAATATTTGTATATTATATCAACTAGTATGCCTACGTGTATATTTGGAACAAATAGATTATATTTTATAGATATAGTGACTTCCCCTTTTTACTTAGTATGTTCATTATCCACTGTAAAAAGCTACACAGTACTGGATTTTTGGACATACATACCACAATTTTATCTCATTGAGGACAAGGAAAATCATCAATTGCTATCCTCCACTAACTCATGTGCTCTATATTCATTCATTCAGCATTTATTGTACACTTAATTTATGTTAGGCACTGACATTTCAAAGTCCTGACACACTGGAGGCACTCAGCACATGCTAAATGAAGGAAGGTACAGTCCTTAAAAGAATTTTACCTATCTAGTTACAGAGTAAGATGTGTAAACAAACATCACAAAGCAGTAGTCTAAATGTCACAATAGGTGTAATAAGTATCTGAGAGCCTTTGAGTGAGCTGCTTTGAAGAACTGGGAAAGGCTTTAAAGTAGTTAAAGGGAAAAATTTAAAGCAGTATTAAAGAATGGAACATTTTTGGAATTTTACAGGATGTGTGTCTGGCACAGGATGGTAGGAAAAATAGGCAAGAGGAAACTGGAAAGGTAGGAGCTAATTCTGGTTGTGGCTTTAAATATTGTCTCTAAGCTGATGACTCCCAAACTGTCACTGCCTGGTCTGACTTGTCTCCTGAGCACCAGATTTGTATGCACATCCAGCTGCCTACTTGAAATCTCCTCTTGAAAGTCTAAAAGGCATCAAACACATTAACAGGTCCAAAAGGAGCTCTCAATTCCACACCTCTCAGAAGAATGCGGTGTTCTTTCCCTAGCCTTCCCCAACTGCATTAAAAAAAAAAAACACACATTGAACTGTTTGTTTACATCCCAAAATCCGGTGATTTCCCTTTTCTTCATTTAATCCATAACCAAGTCTTGCTGGTTACAATGATAAAACAGATCTCTTAATTCATCCACTTCTTTTCATCACCATTATTGCCTTAGTTGAAGCTATTTTCATCATGCTCTAGTCTCCTTGTTTTCATTTTTTCCTCTCCTTGAAAATCCTTTCATACAACTAGATAAAATATCACAAACGTAAATCAAGTCATTTCTCATTGAAAGTCCTAAAAACACTTCCTCCAAGAATCCACATGATCTTGTCCTGCAAGGATATCCAACATCACTACCTCTTCCTTCCCTTGATTTCTATAACCATTGGTGTTCCTTTAATACATTCCTTCTCTCCTACCTCCAGATCTTTGTACTTAACTGCTCCTGCTGCCTGGATTGATTGCTTTCCCCTCAGCCCCTCAGGGGCGGTTCATTCTCATCTTGTGGATCTCCACTCATATGTTTTCTATTCAGAGAAACCTTCCCTGATCAGCCCTGTCTGAAATGGTCTCTCCTAATTACTCTCTACTTCATCACCGCTTGATGTTTCTTTCATAGTAATATTACACAGTTCAATAGTATGTAATCTTTTCAAGTGTTTACTGTCTCCCCCGCCAGAGTGCTCCAGGAAAGCAGAGGTCTTTTGCCTACTTTAATAACAACCAAATCTCCAGTAATTACATCAACACCTGGCACACTGTAAGCACTTGAGTATCTCTCATACAAATAACTAAATGAATACATCTAGGAAGCTTCCAAAATTATGACGTGGGCAGAGAGTGGAGCAAATATAACACAGAAAAAGCAGGTTGAAAACGTGCACGTGGATGAAAGGATCCTTAAATCCGGTGCGTAAACTTCGCAGTACGGTCCTCCAGGCCGCCACCCACCTCCCGCCCCCGCCGCCTCCCTAGTCTCGGGGGACCATACACAAATCCCTTCCTGACTAGGCACAAGGACTGGATACGCCGACCCTGTGGGCTGAGGTGGCGGTGTTCTTCACCCCGCGGCGGCAGCGCGCTGTTAGTACCGGGAAGACACGTGAGAGCCCCGCGCTCAGAAATCAGGGTTCTGGAAGCCTCGCTTCCGGAGCGACACTAGGCTAATGGGCCAGCTGAGTAGGTCTCCTAAAGCGAGCGATACACCCTGCGTAAACCCCGGTGGCAGAGCAAAAGGAGGAGACTCACATCATCTGACTGCATGGTGTCAGCGGTTCAGCAGGAACAGCCTAGCCAGGTCAAGGGAGCAGCCATGCTGCTTCCGGAGAATCACTTCCGGAAAGCCCAGTCTCGTCTGTCGCGAGAGTTTGGATTTCTGGGGCTTGCCTAGCGCACCCTGGCGGTCTAACTTCAGCGCCGCGTGCCAGGTCACGACTCGACGGTCACGACCCGACTGTCACCACGCGCTCATCTCCGCCTTGGTCTTGTCACCGGCTCACCTCGGGCCTGTAAAACTGGCTAAGGGTTCGTGAGACCACGCGCGGGAGTCGGCCGAATCCCGGAGTGCGAGGCCGAGGGCGCCGGGAGCGCCGCGTCCAGCGCGCGGTTTATAACGGTCCCAGAGTTTTGGCCGCCTGCCCGGCAGGGCGCCTCTCCGCGGGGCAGTCAGGGCTGCCCTGTTCTTACTCCTTCCTCCGGTCTGTGGACCTCAAAGTCGGTCTTTTTAAACCTAGGGCCCTCGCTTCCTCACTTACTCCTCCCCCAACTTACCCCGCAGACACCTGTTTGGGGCTGTATTGGGTCCTGACTTTTGAAATTCGTGGATCAGATAATATTTCAAAAACAACAGATCTCCTGCTTTTTATTTTGACAGAAAAAAAGAAAATCTTTAAGAGCATACTATCTTTCAAAAGAAAAGCCACTGTAATACCAAGAGAGTAAGGCAAAATCTCAGAATAAGGATGGGCCCTTAAAATTTGCATATCACATTATAAAATAATTTGATATATTGTAAGTAGTATAATTTTATTCCATGCAGATGAAAATTATTAATTAGAACCACCGTGTCAGAAAGCATTGATTTAGCACTGGCTTGCGGAGCCAAACCTAGGTTATAAAAACCAATTGCAATATACTAAATATCTTTGGGCAAGTCACTTAACCTTTAGCAAACTGTTCCCCACTAGAAAAATGGAAGTACGCAAGGACTAGAGGTATTGTTGTAGGGAAGATGAAACCTGACTCCATACTCTGTTGCTTTTACTTTAAACTTTGTATTCTATTGCTTTTGCTGTAAGTTAATAACTTAGAGAACGTTGCCTATATGCTGCAGTATACAGGATAACCCATTCGCAAGCCTCTGATCTTTAAAGGTATAACACTTTTCCATTCATATAGAGATAAAAAGTTGCAGAACAGAGAATAACAAGAATAACTTGTTAGAGGAATAGGAACTTGTGACCTGACCTATGTGGACAGCTGCAAGCACAAAGGATCTCAGAGGCAAGAAGTTCGCAACAACCAACCACACCCTCTCCCCTTTTAATATAAAAGAAACCTGAATCCACCATCTTCATGGTCTGCTGGCTTTCTTTCTCAAATTGTTTTAGCTATTGGAGGTCTTAGTGGTTCCATACAAATCTTAGGGTTGTTCTATTTCTGTGAAAAATGCCATTGGAATCTTGATAGGGATTGCACTGGACCTGTAGATTGCTTTGGGTAATATGGACATTTTTACAATATTCTCCAACACATGAGTAGAAAATATTTTCTCATTTATTTGCATTTTTTCATTTTCTTTCATTAATGTCTTACAGTTTCAGTATACTGATCTCTCACTTGGTTAAATTTATTCCAAGGTATTTTATTCATTCTGATGTAACTGTAAATGGGATTTTTTTATTTTCTCTTTTTGATAGTTCCCTATTAGTGTATAGAAATGCAACAGGTTTTTGTACATTGATTTTGTGTCCCGCAACTTTACTGAATTTTTTAATTAGTTCTAGTGGTTTTTTGACTTGCTACCACATCTTGAAAACAGTTCTTAACAAGTTTCACCCCTTCAAAGAGTGAGGACTTCCAATGGAAATGCAGAATGCAGAAACATCCTCGGTGAGAAATATGGTTTTTAAAAAATAATTACAAACAATACATGAATGTACGCTAGTTTATATACAAAAGCTTATAAAGTGAGAAGTTAATGTTTCCTTTCACTTGTTTCCTTCCAAAAGCCGTAAATTTATTCATCAAATAGTTTTGGAGGACCCACTATGTGCCAGACACAGTTCTAAGTGCCAGGGATACAGCAGTGGGGGAAAAAAAAGACAAGATCTATGCCCTCATGGAGCTTACTTAGTAATGAGGAGACAGATAATAAGCAAGTAAACTTTAGATATACATTTGGAACTCATTAATATTTAAAACCATGAACCTGGGCCAGATCATCTAGAGCTGTGATAGTGACCTTTTTTCTGGAGCGCTCCCTAACATAATTGTGGAAAGTTAGTGAACTGTCACACTTTATTAAACTGATACCTAGAAATTTTCATCATAAATTTAAATAGTTAAAATTATGTAATTTATGGCATGTTAGAAATACTAATATTTTAAAAGATTACATTCTACTTGGAACAAAAATATCATAGAGATTTGAAAACCAGCATCTTTAATTTGAAAAAACTTAATGAATCCCAGCAGGAGGGTATAGCTCAGTGGTAGAGGACATGCTTAGCATGCGTGAGGTCCTGGGTTCAATCCCCAGTACTTCCATTAAAATAAATAAACCTAATTACCCCCCACCAAACAAAACAAAACGAAAGTTAGAAGAAGAGCTGAGGTTTACAGAAAAACGTGGGAGATTCACTGCTCTGCTAGCCCCAGCCTGGGACACAAGGTGGGGTGCAGGTTGGTAAGTTAGAGACCTGAGCTTGTGACAGAACCTGATTAGGATGCTAAGATGCTGAATTTCTAAGAAAGAGGTGAAACGAAAGAGGAGGATTTAGTGGTGATTGATGAGAAAAGAAGGAAACCCTGCTTTTTGACCTAAAATACAAAGAAAAATTTTAAATAACAATCACCCCAAACTGACTAGCTCTAAACTGCCTAGGAGAAAACTTACATTTTTTCTGTCTCTTGAGGTTGTAAATCTTATCATGTTTTTAAAATGTAAACACCCCATGAGTTAACCAAAACATTGCCTATAAGTACTAAAAAAAAGGAGGGTTGGGAGGTTTTTTAAAGTACAGATGCTCTGTAAAATTTCTCTTGCCAAAATTGATTTGTAAAAGATCTAAGGTGTTTTTGTTGTTGTTGTTACAAAACTACTAGAAATAATAAGGATGACAAAAAATAAGTGTATGTAAAAATTAGGAAGTGTGTTTCTGGTAAAAGAAGGTATGAGATACATTTTTGGAAAAGAAAAGAAAATTTTATTTTTTAAGATAAAAAAGATATATCTATTGAAAAAAAGATGCACAGACTATAAGTTGAGAATTATGTTTTATTCGAGGACATTATTGAGAACTATAGCTTAGAAACAACATCTCAGATAGCTCTAAGGAACTGTTCTAAAGAGGTAAGAGAGGAGCCAGCATATTCAGGAGTTTTTGCCAAAAAACAAAACAAAACAAAACAAAACAAAGCCCAAAAAGTAAACAAAAAAACCCTGGGTAGTCAAATACCAAAAGATTACTGCTAACCACAAAAACAGACATCTCAAGTTAGTGATTTTAGTGCTTTTCTATATATGGGAAGATGCAAGAGTCTGGGCTCATTGAAATTATTCCTTTGACAGGCACTTAACTATTTAGGGCCAGTCTCCTGTTTTTTCTCCATCCTGAAGTCCCCTCAGGGCACACCATCAGGGGTGGCTGTGGTGGCTGATGGCTTAATGGTGGGGAATATTTGTTGTTTACTGGAATGACAGGCAAAGTTTTTTTGTCCACAGATATAAAGGACTTTTTTTCAATTAAAAAAATTTTGTGCTAAAATAAAATTATTATTTCAATATTTTAAAAAGAAAATTAATTAGATATAAAAGTTACAAAAAGTTTATGGAAGTCACAGAGGGTTTATAAAATCACAAAAGTTTTGTAAAAATCAAAAGGTTTTTGGAAGAAAAAAATCTTTTAAACATTTTTTGTGTGATCAAGCTAAAATTAAAATACATTGTTTAAATTTAAGAAAATTTAATGTCCAAAGTACATGGTACAAAAGTAAAATTTGGCTTTCTGTTAAAAGGACAAATTTTTCTTAGATTATTAGTCTGCTCTTAACAAAAAATTGTGAACATAGGTTTTTCTTTACCTTTAATGAAGTCTGCCTAGGATACAAAGATTTTTGTCTTTAAAAATCTTTATCAGATATTTAACCATGGCTATTTTAAAGTCTCATCATTTATAGATAGTTATTATCTTGCTGTGATGCTTTTATAAAAGTGTTTCTTCAAAGGTGCTTTAACCTCAAAGAGATTTATTTTTTAAAAATGAAGCCCCAACAAGTACAGGTTTCTGATAACTAAGATTAATTTGCCTTCTCACGGGAAAGACAATAATAAACCTTTCAAATGCTTCCCCAAGGTTACCTTTGCAGCCCCACAACATGTCATGGGATGGTAACCTGAGACACCTGCCCCTGGTCTCCTCCTGCACATCAGTGAAAAGCCTGTTACCTTAATGATGTAAAGTTAACATGTGAAGACTTGCCTTTGCTACAGGACACTCTTCAGGCTTTGCTCAAATATCTGGAAAAAAGTGGGGGGCAGTGAACCCAGAGAAAATGAAAGGCCCAGATACCACACAAGGTTTTAAAAGTCACTTGGTCATATAAGATACAAGTTATCCCCAAAATTGTGTTTGATAAAATACAAGACTGTCCAACCCCTAAAAATGTAAAAGTGATACAAGCCTTTGGAGGGATTTGGGAGTTTTTGAAAACTTTTATTCCCCACCTGCCACAACACGTCCATCCCTATACTATTTGGTAAGGAAACCTGCATGGAGGTCAGAGCAGTAAGCCGCCTTTAAAAATTAAAAAAAAAACTAGTAAAACAAATTAAAGCTCTGGACATCTCCCAAGCAGGACTACATTTGAGTTAGATGTGTCTGTGACTCCACCAGATCTGGGTAAGACACTGTGACAGAGACAACAAAAGAGGAAAATGCCCAGAAGATTTTGGTCCCAACTCTGAAAAGAAACAGAAACCCAACCCAAAATCCTATAACCAGTAAAAACATCCTTCACGAATGAAGGAAAAATCAAGACATACTCAGATGAAGGAAAACTATGAGAATCTGTCACTGGTAAATGCATCCTAAAAGAATGGATAAGGAAGGTATCAATAGAAATAATCAACAGTGGAACATCAGGAGGGAAGGAAGAACATGGTAAGAAAAACTGTGGATAAATACAATAGGTTTTGGTTCTCCTCTTGAGAGTTCTAATTATGTTTGACAGTTAAAGTGAAAGTTCTAACATTGTTTAATGTGGTTGTAAATTGTTTATAGAGGAAATACTTAAGACAATTATATTATAAAAGGTGAAGGGTAAAGGAATGTAAAGGAAAATCAAGTTTCTGTGTATTACACATTGCCTGTGTAATATATAATATCTAGAGAAACCACTAAAAAAGATATACAAAGAGATATATACTCAAAAATGCTACAGATAAATGCAAATGGAATTCTTAAAAAATATTCAAGCAACCCACAAGAAAGCAGGAGAAATAAAACAAAATCAGAGAGAACAAATAAGAAAACAAAACAAAAACAAAAGGTAGATTTAAGCCCTAACATATCAATAATTATATTAAATGTAATTCTCTGAAACACACCAATTAAAAGCAGAGATTGGCAAAGAGGATTTTAAAACATGAGCGAGGGCAGTCTACGAGAAATTCTCTTCAAATTTAGTAATATATGGTGATTAAATGTAAAAGGATGGAAAAATACATCATGCAATAGTTAATTAAAGAAAAACAGAAGGGGCATGTTAATATGAGATGAAATTGGTATCAGAGAAGAGAAAAACAACCAGAAATAGAGAAGGACATTATGTAATGGTAAAAGGGTTGATCCACCAAGAAGTCATAGCAAACCTAAACGTGTATGCACCAAACAAAAGGGCGCTAAACATACAAAGCAAAAACTGAAAGGAGAAATAAATCCACAATTATAGCTGGAGACTCTGCCCCCTCTCTTTCGACAATGGATAGAACAGCTAGACAGAAAAGTAGCAGGGATATAGAAGACCACAACAACAGCACAAATGAACAGGAGCTCACGAACATTTATAGGTGACTCTATTCAGCATAAATAGAACACATTTTTTTCAAGTGCCCACAGAACACGTACCAAGCTCGATCATATCCTGAGCCATAAAACAAACCTCAACAAATTTAAAAAGAATTGAAATCACACAGAGTATGTTATCTGACTATAATGGAATCAGACTAGAAATTAATAACTGGAACCATAACAGGAAATTTTCCAAACATTTGAAAACCAAGTAATACATTTCTCAATAATCAAAGAAGTCTCAAGGGAAATCAAAGTGTACGCTGAACTTAATGACAGTTAAACTACAACATATAAAAATTTGTGGGACACAGCTAGAGCAGTGCTGAGAGGAAAATTCATGGTATTAAAGGCATACAGTAGAAAAGAGGGAACGTCCCAGTAATTGAAGCTTCCAACTCAAGAACCAAGAGAAAGAAGAGCAAAATTCAACCCCAAGCAAGCAGCGGAAGGAATAAGAAAGATATGAGCACAAATCACTGAAGTAGAAAACAGGAAAACAACAGAGAAAATCAGGGAAACAAACTGCGGATGCTTTGAAAGTTCAACAAGATGGACAAACTTCCAGCAAAACTGACAAATTGTAAAAAGAGAGAAGACATGAGTTTCCAATATCAGGAATGAAACAGAGGATCTCACTAGAGATTTCAAGTGGATAGTAAGGGAATACTATCAACAACTTTACACACAAATTTGACAATTCTGGTGAAATGGAACAATTCCTCGGAAAATGCTAACTACCACAATTTCCTCAATATGAAACAGTAAAAATGAGCCATGGAAATGCCTGGGGAAAGACCATCCTGAGCATATAAATTAACAATTTCAAAGCCCCTGAGTTTCGGCATGCTTGGTGAGTCAGGGAGCAGCCAGGTGGGCAGTGTGGGTGGAAAGGAATGAGTAAGCTGAAGAGTATTGGGAAAGGAAGCTGGGGAAGGAGCCAAAAGCCAGATCACATAGGAACTTATATTATATTAGTTTATTATTATTTTTTAAAGTTTTATTATTAATTTTTAAAAAGTTTTTTAAATTAATTTTTAAATGGAGGTACCCAGGACCTCGTGCATGCTAAGCACACCGTCTACCACTGAGCTATACCCTCCCCACAATGGTTTTATTTTAAGTGGCTATTTTTGAATGGAATATTGGCATGATCCGATTTATGATTTGAAAGCATTAGTCCAGCTATCATGTGGAGGCGGGTGTGGAAGCAGGGAGCTGTTGGGGAGGTATGACAGGAGTCAAGAAGACACAATGTTGAGCATCTTTTCACATGTTGATTTGCCATCTGTATGTCTTCCTTGGAGATGTGTCTTTTGCCCATTTTTTAACTGGGTTGTTTGCTTCCTTATTGTTAAAACTCAACAATACAATACAAATACAAACACAGGAGTTCTTTGTGTATTTTGGATATCAGATATTTTCAGATTTTATGCAAATATTTTCCCCTACGCTGGGCTTGTATCATTCTGTTGACCTTTATTATCTTTTTAATGCCCATGGGGTCAGTAGTGACGGCCCCTCTTTTATTTCTGATACTAGTTATTTGTGTCTTCTTGCTTTTTTACTGGTCAACCTGGCTAAGGGTTTGTCAATTTTATTGATCTTTTCAAAGAATCAATTTTTGGCTTTATTGATTTTCTGTTAATTCCCTGCTTTCAATTTCATTGACTACTGCTCTAATTTTTATTATTTCTTCTCCTCTGCTTACTTTGGATTTAATTGGCTCCTCTTTCTCTAGTTTCCTATGGTGGAAGCCAAGAATATTAATTTTAGATGTCTCCTTTTCTAACATTCAATAATATAAGTCAATGCTATAATTTTCCACTGCATCCCACGAAATTTGATGTTATATTTTACTTTCATTTACATTAAAATATTTTGATTTCTCAAGAATATTATAGAATATTTTTGTTATTTAATTGATTTAATTGGTTTAATTCCACTGTGGTCTCAGACCATGTTTTGTATAATGTCTATTCTTTTAAATATGTTAAGGTGTGTTTTTGTGGCCCTGAACACTTGTGTTTCGATGTACGTATGTATGCATGTTTATTAGGGATATACCTGGCGGTAGAATTTGTGGATCACAAAGCAAGTACACATCTGGCTCTAGTAAATACAGATAGACAAGTTTTCCAAAGTGGCTGAAACAATCACACCCCCACCAACAGTGCACAAGACTTCCACCTGCACTACAGCTTTGCCTTTACTCTGTATTACCAGTTTTATACAGATGTGCAGTACATTATTGTGTGAATTTGCATTCTCCGGATGACTGAAGAAGTTAAGCACCTTTTCACGTGCTCATTGGCTATCCGGATTCCTCTTTGGTGAAGTGCTGTATGTCTTTGGTCCATTCCCTCCCCTTTTTATTGCATTGTGTTTTTCTTATTTCATTGTAGGAGTTCTTGCTCCATGCTGGATTATGAATTCTTTGTTAGATAAATCTATTGCTAATCTCCTACTCTCTGGATTTTTTTTTTATTCTCTTAATAGTGTCTTTTGATGAACAGAATTTCTGACTTCTAATGACATCCTGTTTGTCAGTCTTTCCCTTCCTTGTATTCGGTGTTTTCTAGAAGGTGACATCATTATCAACCTGCTTTCACGGAGAAGTTAATGGAGGTGCCTGGCCCTGGAGCCCCCGGGCCTGGAGGAGAGTGAGGCGGGCCTGGGCAGCAGTCACACCCGGGTTCCTGCAAGTGCGCCCAGCAGGTGCGTGACTCTGCGGTCAGTCCCTCAAATTTTGATTCCTAGTCCCGACCCTCCCACGGTCCTAAATGACCTCCCTCGGTTGGTTACTTGCTGTTCAGACTAGTGCAAAACAATTTTAAATGGAGTCTCTGAATTCGGAATTCAGTAACGTAAAGTCAGTCAATTTTCCTTCGCCAGTGAAATACAACTAAACCATCATCCTGCTCAGTGGCAAACACTGGTCCCTGATTCAAGGTACCCAGGCCTGTTTTGCTTAAAAGGGTCTCAATTTTCCTGAATACGTGACTTTGAACGTGCTCCAGTCTTAGTGTTTGGGAAGCAGAAAGCGTCCTGTGACTTACGTAAGAGGGTCTCGGGAGCCTCCCTGGAACTTTCCAGAGGGTTGCGCGCCCGCGGCGGGCGAGCGGAGGGCGAGCGGCCGTTTCCCCGGAGCCGCGGTCCCGCTGGCTTTTAAACCGGGCGTCCGCGAAAACCTGGAGCCAGGATCCCGGGCTTGGACGCGGGACGGCCATCCCCTTTCCCAAATCTCCTTCTCGAGTCTTCGCCGGAGCTCCGGCGGCGGCGCGAAGCGAAAGTGGGAAGCCGCGGGGCCGCCGCCCGCGGGGCCGGCCTCCTCCTCCGCGACGCGGTGAGTGGGGGCCCCTGGGCGTTTTGGACGCGAGGGCCCGCCCGGTGGGAGCGGGGTCTCGGTGCGGAGAGAGGGAAAGAGACTTCGCTGACGCCCGCCGGGCTCCCAGCGGAAGGAAGCCTCTTCTTTGTGCCCAGAAGGGAGTGCGTGTCAGAGGAAGACCGAGCGGTGCTGAGAAGGGACCCAAGTTGGTTTTGGGAGACCTCGGGCAGCGCTTCCCGGGGACGCCGCCGTCTGGGTGCCCAGGGGCACAGGTGGGAGGCAGGGGACGCGCAGGGGCCCCGGCGGGAGCCCGGGGGGCGCGCGGCGTCCCGCCGCCTCCGCCGGGCCTGGCGGGCTTCGCGCCCCTGCGCGCCCGCCGCGGGCTGCGCGGCCCCCGGCCCCGAGCCTGCCTCCGCCGCTGGGGCCCGGGAATGGCTTCCTTGCTCGCGGAGCGTCACTTGTTGCTCCAACTGTGTGCTGAAGTCGGAGCGACTCTGGCTGTCCAGCTGTCCAGCGAACTGTGTGTTGAACGGAGGTAAAAAGGGCCCGGGGAGAGCCCCCCGGCGCGGCGGACTTTCCTGATCGTATACAAACCATTTCTTAAGTGTTCTTGCATCCGATTAGCGCCCTCAGGATAGTACTCATTTTCTGTGAGATAGAGACATAACATTGGCGTGATTTTAAGACATGTTCTGAGGAGCTTTTAATGATCCTTTAATATATAACAAATGCCATGCAAAATGACGTTTTTCTTAACACTACAGCTCCAACAGACCAGCGGCCCTTCCCCCCCACGCCCCCAACCCCCCCCCACCGGCTCCCTGAGATTGTTGGGGGAGAGTATATTCATGTGTGTTGGATTGGTAATTTCATTTGAGGGCTGCGTGCAGTTTTGAGCGTGGCAAGTTGGTCTTCACGACCCCATTCTCCTTGTACATCGTTCTCTCATGATGAGACACTCCAGAAGCTCATGACCACTCGCGTGGGCTTGCCAGTGATGTCACACTACAACCAGGGCATTGTTTCTCCTGCCTGGTCCACGTGGTCTCACAAGGAGGACTCTTAATTGGGTCCTGGCTATCTGCAATGAATAAGCAAGCCACATATTTGCACAATCAAGTGGCAGGGCCACCAATCTAGCCTCAGTTTTGGAACTTTCTCCGTCTCCTGCCCAAAAGCTAAAGGCAGTGTCCAACAGAGGATCATTGAGGTCTGCCCCATTTTTGAAATTGCTGTCCTGAGTCTTTATTTGCTGGGCTTCCTGCTAGATGGCAGTGTGTAACAGGGAATTTAAATACACAATCTCAGCTGTTTCTCTTCCCGTGGCTCATCTTTTATTCTCCAATTAAAAAAGAAAAGTAGGAGGTTTTCAAGTTTTATCTTACAAACAACATTTTTGGAAAAAATTCAGACTAGGGCTAAATTTATGAGATAAAATGAACATAGTGTTTGGACAATGATGTTATTCATATGTGTGTAAGTACTGCTCAGTAGGCAGACATTTCCAACTCATATTTAAATGCTCTCTAAATTTGGAATGTAAAGAGTTGACTTCAGTAAGAAATCCAATACCTAATTCAATTATCAGCATTCTACAATAAACATTTGTAATAGTATTCTTGATCATGTGTTTAAAAAAAATTGGGGGGAGGGTATAGCTCAGTGGTAGAGTGCATGCTTATCATGCACGAAGTCCTGGGTTCATTTCTCCGGTATCCCTGTTAAATTTTTTTTTAGAACTGAGATTATCTTTATTTACAGTGTTTTCCAGATATTTGTTTATTTGAGAATAAGATTTGAGTTTTCAACAGTTAGTGTTGAATTACTCAAAAGGAGAATGAAAAGCAGTCAGTCCTAAACTTGTTTTATGGAAGTATTTCTTGTTTTATATTTACAGAAACCTTAGTTTGCGATAACAGATTGTTTTGATTACTGTCTCTTGATGACTTTTCTTCTTTGGAGACTTTGCTCCTATGCACTGTTCATGGGATCAGAGAGCTTAATTTTGGGATGAAACCTCAGAAGATGTTCTGGTCCAGCCCTTTGTCTTTAGGCATGTGAAGCATTAGGCAGATACTGTCAGTATTACTGAATCAGTTCCCCCACGCACGATTACATAAGCGGTCAAAGCAGTTGAGGGATTTGAATTCAGATCTTTTTGCCAGCAAGGAAGATTGTTACAGAGTAAACAGTAAGCCTTCTTGGAGAAAGAACAGTTACAGAGAACACCTCCCAAGGAAAAAGATGAGAGAGAATCTTGTTTTTGAGAAGCTGGTTCAGCTCTTAGTGTGATACAGAATCTTCACAGTCTTGGGCTCCCTCCTCCATTTAAAAAAACCCATTCTTTTTTTTAATGCTTCTATCTGGGGCTTTATAATCAGTCTTTTTCTGTAGTTGTTTGCTTGTCTGGGTATGTTTTTGTTTAGTTTCTACGTTAAATAGAGCCACTAAGTTAGACTGTATTACTCTTGTGTAATTTGAGTACTTCAGTATGTGCCTGGAATCTAAGAATTTAGGAACAGCACCAGCTTGAGTTCTGCAATAGAAAACGAAGGTGTTTGTGCTACAGCCTCTCTCCCCTCATTAGTCACCGCCATTAATCACCAGTCTTGGTTTACACGGCTGCCAGTGTCCCTTGCTCTCTTATTATTCTTTTTCTCTCCTGAAATGTGTGCTTGGTTGAAGAGGATGACCTTCCCAGATAGAAATCTGCAAGCCAGAGCACTCTTCACTTAAAAATAAATACTCAGCAAAATGTGAAGTCCATTAAAAAAGACAGAGAGACACATTAACACAAATAAACGTGAATAAAGAAAACTGGATGAGAGTGGAAACTGTGGAGCCATCACAACATGCTCATCAGGTGCCCAAGGGACAGTCAAAGGCACTAAGGATGTCTTCTGCAAATTAACAACATTGGTCGACTTTTCAGTGTTCGACAGTTGTTTTATATGCACCCAATAAAGCAGCTTTAGAGAGTTCCCTAAAATCCCCCAGCATTCTCTCTGCTGCTGTGATAGAAGCAAGCACAATGTGCGGCTCTAGGTCTCCTGACTTAGCACTGGGAAGGAGTAAGGCTTCCCAGAGCAGGTAGCCTCGAAAGCTCCGGGAGAATGTCTGGGAGAGTGAAAGAGTTATGGATATTGTAGGCAGGGACCAGAGCACAGAACAGGGAGCTGTATTCTAGGGACAGCCAGAACAAAGGCTATGTGGGCTGGAAGCCAGAGAAGTAGGGGGGGTCCAGAGAGTCTTGTTTTTCTAAGCTGATGAGTTTGATCTTTATCTTGAGCTCTTTGGGAAGCCGTTGACGGATTTTAATTGGAGGGGAGATATCCAGTCTACATTCCAGCAACATCTCTACAGCTGAGTGAAGGATGCCAATGGGTCAATCCGGTAGATAGCCCAGTTATCAGGTTTTGGGGGGTCACCAAGTAGGAATGGATGAGGAGTGTTGGTGAGGACAAATGAAGTTGAAGGAAGTTAAAAATTGCCTGGAGAGTTGTCCAAAGCCCTTAGACCTTCCCATCTGGCTGCCACATCATCTGTCTTTCCCAGGACTGCCCCATTTAAGGGATGCTCTGAGGATCCATACATTATGAAATGAAAACATCTTGGGAGTGCCAGCCTATTTGAGAAATTGCACTTTAACATGAACAATTTAAGTTTGGTGAGTAGACACATTCCTTCCAAAGTTTCTCCCTGGTATAACCTTAAACTCAGCTAAGACAGCCGCTTGTTAACCCCAGTGGCTCACCAGTGACTAGAGGAATGAGCAGAGGAGCCTTCCCGGAGCTCCCTGGCATGTGTCACCTGGGGTTGGTTTCTCATTTTACACTCGGAGGCACAGGGCAGGAATCATCTTCATCCCATTTCTGAGACCCAGCACCTGTACCCCGGACTGGCCCCGTGTGACCGACTTTTGCAGCTGGCGTCCTCAGGCTGCTCCTTCGCTTGAAGATCCTCCGTCTCTCTTCTGTCCATTTTAATTCAAAGTAAAGTGGGGATCGATGAGCTTCTTCTGGAGTGAAAGTGGGGCAGGTTCTGATGGCACAGCACCTGCAGGAGCATGAGGTGGTCAGGCCCAGCTCCAGACCGCCTCTCTGGGCCGCAGACGGCCAGCCCCCAGCAGTGCACACAGCCCAGCAGTGCGTTTCAGGAGCTCAGTGCTTGGGTCAGGCGGTTTGGCTAGTGAGCCCATTTCAGATGTTGTCTACATGGTGGTCTGAACAGCCACACAGCTCCGCCGGGAAGGAGTGTTCTGGGGCCCTTTCTTAGAGGACTCTGAGATTCACCGTGGGGGCAATGCCGACACAGAAGGGAGCTTTCTCCTTGGAGTCCCATTGGAGTTCCATTGTCTTGAAGCTTGTGGGCCTTCACGGTGCTGTCAGCAAGCCATCTGTCCCATCAGTCGTGGGACTGCTGATCTGATGACAAACTCCTGGGTAATTAATTCCGTACATAGATTGATGTGGCCCACGGCCTGGTTGATGGCTGCATGCTATGAATCGTAATACCGTCTACACTAGTTGCATCCATTCTTTAGTGGTGGGTATTTAACCACAGCTCAGTCCTTGAGACCCTACTGTGTACTTCTGGCTTGGGGAATATAACCTAAATTGAGATTCTTTGGATGGAAGGGAATTTGTAACCTGAAATTCTTCAATAATAATTCGTACAGCCATGTAAAGACTTAAAAAGACCCCAGGACAGGCCTGTGCCATGTGGTAGCTGTAAAACTATCCCAAACGGTGTCCCCACACTCTCTCTCCATCTTTTTTCCCTTGATTCCTGACTCTTTTGTACCCTTAACAAGACGTCACTGCTCCTTCTCTTTCTTTTCCACTGATTCTGGAGTCAGGTGACCTGATTTCTAGACCCACTTCAGCCTTTAAAAACTATGTTCTTGGGCAAAGCACTAAAACTCACCGAGAGTTGGTGTCCTTATTTGTGGGAACTGAGAATAATAATAACCACCTTGCCTCTTTTACAAAATGGCTAATAAGATTGAATGGAGTGATAATATCGAAAACCCTTTTGAAAATGCGTAGGCTTTATACTCACTTAGAGTGGTAGTGTTATTTTATTACCCGATCTGGGTTACATTAATTCTAGTTATAACAAATTGCTTTTGCATGTAAAATGAAAAATTGATAATCCCTGTGTTATAAAAGGGAAAGAAATATAATGATAGTTAACGTTTATTCTCTCCTGTGAAGAAACTGAGGCTTTGAAGAATTTAGTACTTTGTCCACATTTACCTTACACATCAATGGCAGGGCCAGGATTGAGGCCCAAAGTGCTGGCTCCCCGTTTTATGTGGTTAATAGCTACTAGCATCTTCTGAGTGGAAGGAAAGGCCCTTTTCAGGTTCTCAGGGACTTTTGTTACTTTTTTCTCTGGGACACCATCTGACAGAGAGCTAGTCTACACAGGTTTTTTTTCTGTGATTTAGCTAGATAAGCTGTGAGTGTTAGTATTATTATCTGATGGCAATTTTACAGCCTTAGGGTTAAAAAATACAAAAAGAATGTGGGAACTTCAGAGTCTAACTAGTTTCTGGTTGCCGTACTTTTAAGTGTTATAATCTTGGGCAAGTTAGTTTACTTCCTTCAAATTCATTTTTCTCACCCTTAGAAATGAAGCTAGAAGTTGCTACCTCATGGAGTTGTGGGGAGGACTGAATGAACTCACACGGTGCAAGGCCTGGTACAAGGAAGGGTCATAATAGGTCACTCAGCACGTATTAGTGAGCTCCTTTTCCTGGGCAAAGTGAGTATTTCTCCTTGTGAAGTGCCAGTTGGTCAGGCAGCATCATAATTTATTTGACTTCAACTCCTCTTGGCACTTAAAGCTATAATAAAAATTGTAATAAAATTTAAGAAGGAGGATAGCAAACATTTATTGGATATTTATCATGTGTCAGGCTCTGAAATAAGCGTTGTACCAATTTTATCTCATGTAATTCTCACAGTAACTCTCTGATTACGCACTATTATTATCTACATTTTGGGAATCGATTTATGGGAGAGGCTGAGGAGTTGAGATTTGAATCCCAGGGTGTTGAGCCTAGAGGCCATTCTCTTAGTCACTGTGGATTGCAGGACTTCTGTGGAGGAAAGAAGAAAAATGCACTTTGGGCTGTTTCTCAGTCCAAGAGTCATTTCGTTGCCAAGGGGAAAAAATATCCTGGACTTAAAAGTAAATCAAGACAGATGGCTGAGAGGGAAGCACACCTTTAAGACGAAGATTTTAACCAGAATTCTACATCATGTATATATTTCTCATTATATCCATATTTGAGAGGTGTACAGTCAGATCTTAGGGTCAGGTCCTCAGAGGGCTCCCTTCCTCTGGAATCTTCATCCTTACTCCACTCCGAACTCCACAGGGCCATTTGCTCAAGACATTTGACTTCATAGAACCCTGGGAATAAAAAGCATCCTAGTTCAGAATAGTTCACTTAAAAAACTTTTGGGAAAGATCACCCATTTGGGATAGATGAAAATCTTATTTAAGACATCCCGAGAATCATATTACCCACACCACCCACTGCGTTGGTACACTCACCATAAAAGATGAAACAAATAAACCGAATTCCTTCTGTTGTGGCTGAAGTTCTTTTCCTTGGGGAGAGCTGGGGTCAGTCGATCATTTTCCATTTCTGATCAATGCCTGAGACTTTTATTGATTTTCCCCTAATTTTTACAGGAATGGGTGGACAGTCCAGGCAATTTTCTGCTCCACTCCTCTGCTCCTTTGAAACCTGGATGGTAGGAAATGACTCCATGTCAGTGACCTTTGGGATTCAGGTCTGATGGCAGAGAAGATTAAGTGGGAGCAGAATTTTAGTCCCGGGACCTGACTGTTGATCGGTCACTCTCCTCTAGGGGACGGTATGACCTTGAGCAAGTGCTTTACCTATCTGGTCTTGTTTCCTGATCTAGGAGTGAAGCATTGGGTCTGAATGATCTCAAAGGTTCCTTTTAGTTTTGAAGTTTCAGATTTCTGCACGGTAACCCGTTAAGACTACATTTATGAAATCTGCGCTATGGCTGAACTATTATTCGTTTGTGACAGATTTCTATGGATGCCTTCTGGTTTAAAGAATCTCCAGCTGCTCTGATGATAGTTTAAGAAGACTGCATGCTGTTCCCTTTCAGTGCCAAGCCAGGCCCACTCAGAACCTCGGATCTCAGCCCTTCATGGAGGCCAGGCCCCAGCAGGAACGGCGGTGGAGGAAATTGGCACCCAGATGGTTGCTCCATGTGAAGCTGTCGTGGGCTGCGGGCCGACTAAGGAACACCTGGTAACCAGGCGAGCCCTCTGTCAGTCACCCAGGGCCGGGCGGCATGGTGCGGGTTCAGAGGAGGAAGCTTCTGGCGTCTTGCCTGTGCATCACAGCTGCCATCTTTCTGCTGGTCACACTCCAGGTACCAGGAACTTGGGTCATATGGTGCCTTGCCAGCCTCCACCCCTCCTATCTAAGTACTTTACTCTTTTGCTTCATTCTCAGGATCAGGGTTTTCTGTCTAAGGCAGGGAAAATACTTTTTTTTTTCTTTAACAGATGAAACTGGGGTTTAGTGAATGTGTGTGTCAGGCAGAAACAAAATCAGTGAGTTAGGGGATCAGTTTCTGAGCCTTGCCAGGGTCCTGGTTTTAAAAGGACAGAAGGTAGAACTCTGTCTTGCTGGTTCAAAGTTGAATGGTGTCCTCAAAGTCACAATCCCTCCTGGAAGACGGCATTCTCGGAGAACCAGTGACTGTTCTGAGGACAGGCTGGTCCGTTCTGCAGAATACAAACTTCGGCGTTAAGAAATCTGTCTGTGTTAGGGTGAGTGAACTGAAAGGTTTCTTCACTTCTCCTATTCATGTCATTTAGTGGGTTATTCTGAACTTCATTTGCTGATTTCAAACTGAAATAAAGATAAAAATCCAGTGAGAGTTATGGACCCTCCCCAGGGAGGTACAGACTCTGTCCCATGGGTGGGCAGGGGCCCTTTACTGACCCACAGGCAGCAAACCCATAAAGAAGGCACCCCCTTGGCTGCTGAGAGTGGGGCCTGAGGGCCACACAGGTATGTGCGTCCTCTGTTGACTGGTAGACCAGTTAATACATGAAAATAGGCTTTCTTTTAATTGCTTTATTTGTTGCATAGTCTGACTACTAACGTTTTGTTATGTATGAAACATCAGCCCTGGGGGAGGGTATAGCGCAAGTGGTAGAGCACATGCTTAGCATGCACAAGGTCCTGGGTTCAATCCCCCGGAATCCCTATAAAAAAATAAATAGTAAACCTAATTACCTACTCCCCCCCTCAAAAGAAACAGACCAGCCCCTACCTTTACACTACTCTAACATACTTTTATAATGCTGTATCAACATCAGACCTGAAAGTTTGATGAAAATAAGCATTTTGGGAGAGCAAGTGCCCCTTCCACTCTGCCCACCCTGCCCTCCAGATGATGTTACTGGCAGCCCAGTTCTCCAGGACCCAGACTGTCCTGAAATAAATAAAAATACATGTTTTTCTGGGGGGAGGATATAGCTCAACTGGTAAAGTGCATGCTTAGCATGCACAAGGTCCTAGGTTCAATTCCCAAAACTCCCTCTAAAAATAAATAAATAGACCTAATTACCTCACCCCCAAATAAATAAAATTAAAACAAAAATACATGTTTTTAAGTGGGAGGGAGCCCAGTACTCATGGTCTACTTCACTATCTCCATGCCTAGGGGATATTATTATAAGTAGAAGACGCATGTCATGACCCCTTTAATTGTACTGAAAAGAAACCAGCTGGTAGTTTAGAACTCGTTTTCCTTAGAGTGTAACCTCCAGCAATTGCCAGGTAATACAGGTTTCTTTAAGGGACAGAACCACTTCTGGATTCTGTATATGCCTATGGGATGGAGGAGAGATGTGTTTGTTATGCATTTAGTAGAATAAAACATCCTTGTTGATAGATGTTTTGGAGGCTGTGTCCCTAACCTTAGTCCCAGGGAACTGTGATGTTATTTGGCAAAAGGGATTTGGTGGATGGGATTACAGTGACACCCCTTGAGATGAGACAATTACCCTGAATTATCTGTGCCGGGTCAGTGTAATCACCTGAGTCCTTAAAAGTAGGACTCTTTACTGGCCGTGGTCAGAGAGAGCTGTGGTGACAGAAGAAAGATCAGAGAGATGCAGCACTGCTGGCTATGAAGGTGCAGGTTGAGGGTCACGAGCCAAGAATGTGTTTGGCCCTAAGAGAAAAGCTCAAAAATGAACCCCCCATCAGTTTCCTGAAAGGAACTTAGCCCTGCCGACATCTTGTCGTTAGCCCAGGGAGACCCATTTCAGACTTCTGGCCTCCCAGAATTGTAAGATAATAAATTTGTATCATTTTGAGTTGCTGAGTTTGTGATGATTTGTTAGGGCAGCGACAGAAAACTAGGAAGCGGCTAAAGGAGTGGGAGGCGTGCAGAAGGAAATTAATCAGTCTGACCCTGGTAATAATTGTCGTCTCTTTTAGGTAGTGGTTGAGCTGGGAAAATTTGAAGGGAAGAAGTTTAAAAATTCTAATTTGAAAGATGGACAGGCAAAAATGGAGGGCGAGCATGCACAGCTCCAGCCATTCTTTGAGAAAGAAGGACTGACCCCGAGTAGGCAAAAAACACTGACGACTGAGCGCTACCCCGTGATGCTCTGGTGGTCCCCGCTGACCGGGGACACCAGGAGGCTTGGCCAGTGCGGGGCAGACACTTGCTTCTTCACCATCAACAGGACCTACCTCCATCATCACATGACCAGAGCCGTCCTCTTCTATGGTAAGCTGCGCTTTTGCTTTTTGCCCCTTGTTTGCGGACATCCTGCTTCAAAGCTGATTCACTGCTCTCCCGCCAAGGAGCGGGTGGTGGGGCTGCCCTCGAAAGCAGGGCTCTTTGCCTGAACCATATTTGCATCTACACTGTGACTGTAATGAAACCTGGATATTTGGGTTTTCGAATCGCTTGCGGTGCATTGTTTTTAACCAACTGAATTAGAAGTTCAGTTCATTAATGAGGTCTGTTGAGAAAAATAGAGTGAAGACAGTACACTTTTCGGGCTGCAGCTTTCCAATTCTAACTAAGTAGGTCACATAAGCTGCAGATGGGACTCTGGTGCAGCAGGGTTGACAAAGAAAAGACAGGAAAATGATTCGGGTATCCAGAGCTGACCTAATTAACGAAACTGGAACCTCGAAGGATTATGCAACCGTGAAGCTTTTGTGGACCAGAATATTTTTGACCTTGCTGCCTTTGTAGCTTACTTTTTCTTCTTTTTAGAGACGATTCACTTACTTAATGTAAACACATTTCTGGAGGTAATAATTCAAGACTTTCACCGAGAAATACAGTGAATCCTCTGTCTGGTTTGAGTCGTTTGAGATCACCAGTTCTCTGACACGAAAATTAAGCAGTCACAAGTGAATACATTATTTTTTAAAAACAAAAGTCCATAGAGTTACAGAATTTATTCTTAGAAACCATCACCATAGTGATTTCAAAACACAACTCTGCGTTTTTAAGCAGCTCTCTTGAAGCTTGTCTGTCGTGATGGAGGGGTTGGAGTACCGTGGGGACA